ACTCAAGGCCGCATGTCCTTTCAAGGACAGACAGACCCCTTGCTCCAGTCAGAAGAACTCTGAAGGGTGCCCCCCACTCGGAGCTCCCTAAGAGGCCGGTGGAGGCTTCATCATGCCTGCACCACTGTATACCTCCCTTCCCGTCCCTGCGTGTCCTCACCAAGAAACACCCTGCCTCCAGTGACTGTCCCGCCACTCATGTCCACTTCACAATCTGATTTCCAGGAAATTCAACACGCAACACTGGGCAACAGGCTAAAGTTTGCTTGGGAGGGTGGGTTTATTTGAGTCCTGGGTCAGCAGTGGGTCAAGTATAGCCTGCAGGCCAAACATGGCCCACTGATAGCCTTTTTCTAAATAAAGTTTATTGGCAGCAGTTACATCACTGTATTCATGTGTTGTCCACTGCTGCTTGTGAACAGCAGAGTTGTGAAGTTGCTGGAGAAGCCGTAAGGCCCACATGGCAGGGTATTTCCTAACTGGCCCTTCACATACACACACACACACACACACACACACAGAGAGAGAGAGGAGAGAGAGATGGCCCCCTAGTTCTAGGTCATAATGAGGAGAAGCACACTTGTACGATGAGAGTTCCACACTGTCTTCTGGCCTCCAGCAAGAAGCCCTCGTGGGTGGGAGGAGCCGAGTGACAGCAGCTGTCCCCACGGGAGGGCCCAACGTGTGCACGTGTGATCCGTCATCTTCCCTGCAGCCGCCCTCCCCTCACCCATGCTGGTGGAGACTCACTTGGGGATCTGGTGGGGACTTCTTCCTCCCAGTCACTCACAGCTCTTGTCACATTGATGTAAACACCGGGGACTCCTCAGACCTCCGCCACCGGGGCCCACAGCCTGACTGAGCACCCACACAGAACAAGAGCCCCGTGGCAAAGCAGTGTGGATGCTGTGTCCCTTGTCTCTTCTCCAGTGGACCCAACAGCATCAGAAGGTTATTCTCTGTCTACTTGGATCTCTCACGGATGGGGAAAAGCTGCAGTTAGGCCACAAACGTAAAACGAAGTTGGCAGTTAGCACTGTATCCAAGACAGTCAGCTGGTGAGGACAGAGCCCTTCAGATCAATGCTGCATGTCCCACAGAACACCATAAAGAATGAGGCCCTGGGTGTGGTGGAATGAGGAGGTCATGCCAAGATGGCCACTGGCAATGGAGCCTGCCTGGCAACAGGCTGTGATTGGTTAGGGCATAAACCGCCCCTTGACCGGATTGGCTGCCTTGGCTATATAAACTGCTGTACCAACTGAAATAAACGAGTCTGCAGGCTGCTTGCTTCTGGCTTGCTTTCACCTGGCTCCCGGTGTCTGTGTGGTCATTCTGTGCCTCTTGCCCCCACCACGCTCCTCCTCTCAGAACAAATCCACATCAACACCTGGGCTTTAACGGATTTCTGGGCCAAAACATTTTAACTGCACTAAATGCCACGGCCTACTACCTATCAGAAATTAACTTGTAGCTCTGTCTCCTAATAGTCTACCAGGGTCCCTGGCCAGCAAGCATTGGTATTACTCTATACATCCATGAGCAGCCATCTAACACCGCCCTTAATGACGGCAGTGGAGACGGGTCTCACCACTGGGTGTCACCACCCTGCTGAGTGCTGAGAATGACACAGCAGGAGCCAGACTCATGCTCAGGGACTGAATGGCGGCCTGGACTTGGGCAACCGTTTCCTCTTCAAGCCTCATTCGTCTCATCTGCAGTCTGTGATTCTCTCTTTACAGAATGGTTTGAAGGATCCAAACCAGTGGATGTAGCCTGGGACCTGGCCCCTGGGTTTTTCACAATGTATGCTATGGTTTGGAGAAGATGACGATGGTGGGGACAATGACAATGATGACATCATCACACGATGAAACCTCTCCTTATCATAGGTGAATGGATTTGCACAAGGCCCACCTCGGTGGCACCAGCAGGATACTAAGAGTAGAGATGTAAAGACCAAGCAGCCGGGCGGGGAGAGACGAGCAAGGAAGGAACAGATTCTTAGACCCTCGGCACCTGGGAGGAGAGCAGGACCTGTGTGTTGGTGTGTGGGGGTACCACTTCCTGGGAGACACGGCCCGGCTTCCCTGCACAGGGTCTGTCACTCAGTCTCCCATAGCCCTAATCTGAGCCATCTTTCTGAGCGTTCAGTTTGAGACTCGTTTGAGAATACAGTTCATGGGATTTTCTGTCCAATGACCTAATAACTAGAGCTAAAATGTTGCCACTGTGGAATCGCTCAGGCGGCACCCACCAGGAGCAGGATGTCAGGGAGCCTGGAGAGGCGCCTGCCCAGGACGTATTTCGAAATCATTTAGATAGAGAGCCCAGTGCATAACTGGAGGAGGAAGGCTGCTGGTGGCATGAGCAGCCACAGGAGCTGTCACCAAAGCCCCGGGTAAGATTCCCGACCCAGACAGGGAAACACAAGCAGTCCCTCAGAGACTGGATGAGCATCGCCAAGGTCTGAAAGCACTGGCATTCATGCTGAAAAGCTGGCAAAATGGCTGTCGGCGGGCTCGCCCTGGACACGCGGTGTGGACTGTGCCGGGACAGACTGCGGTCATCACGCTCACCGAGCTGTGCCTGTGTCCTTCAGGAGAAAAGCCTGCAGCATGCACAGTGATGCTTCCTGTGCCTGGGTGGTGGCGCCCGCCGGGGCAGGGGTGTGCGTGCACCGGGCAGAGCGCATTTACAGACGTCTGAGGTCCATGCCCCGAACAGCGGACCCCAGTGTTCTGGGGCTTTGGACTTTACCATGGAGGGGTCCAGTCACACGGAACCTCTTTGCCTAAAGAGTCCACCTTGCAGGGCCGGTGCTGTGATGCAGGGGTTAAGACACGGCCTGTACCACAGGCATCCCATATGGGCACTGGTTCGAGTCCCAGCTGCTTCACTTCCGATCCAGCTCCCTCTAATGCACCTGGGAAAGCAGCAGAAGATGGCCCGAGTGCTTGGATCCCTGCTCCCATGTGGGAGACCTGGAAGAAGCTCCTGGCTCCCGGCTTTGGCCTGGACCAACCTTGGTTGATGCAGCCATTAGGAGAGTGAACCAGTGGATGGAAGATTTCTCTCTCTCTTTCTTTGTAACTCTGTTTTTCAAATAAATAAATCTTTTTTAAAAATCCACTTGAGGCTCTTTTATAAGCTTGAAGGAACTTTCTAGAACACCCAATCCTCCTCCCATAGTTACTGGGTGGAGGAAGCAGGCTTAGCGAGTCAGTGAGCTAGATAATGGCGGACAGCTCTAACAACGGCCTGGCGGCTGCCCCGGCCTCAGCGGGTCTTTCCTCCAATGGCAGCACCAGGTCACGTGACCAGAGCCAGGCAACTGTCTGGGATTTGGGTTGTTTGGGGGAAGTCAACCCGTGGGAACTAGAATCAACGTACACCATTTGCCTGAGAAAGTGCTTGGTGGAGAGGTCACTTCACAAGTCACTGTTGGAAAAACTCTCCCTGGCAAAGCCAGAAATAATTAAAGAATCTTCTCTGTTCTTGCTCTTCTTCAGGACGAATGTTTGAGATCAGGCTCTGGTTATTTTTGAACAACGTTTGTGGAGGGGCCAGCGTCCGGGTGTGGTGCATAAAGCCACTGCCTGTGACTCCAGCATCCCATATGGGCGCCGGTTCGTGTCCCGGCTGCTCTACTTCCAATCCGGCTCCCTACGACTGCACCTGGGAAAAGCAATGGGAGATGGCCCAAGTGCTTGGGCCTCTGCCACTCCCACGGTTGACCCAGATGGAGCTTCTGGCTCCTGGCTTCAGCCTGGCCCAGCCCTAGCTGCTGTGGCCATTTGGGGGAGTGAATCAACAGATGGAAGATCTCTCTCTCTGTCACTCTGCTTTTCTAACAAGTAATTGAATCTCTTTAAAAAAATGTTTTCTTGAAAAGTGCTGTAAACATCCAAATTATTTCACACTGTGAGACCTGGTCTAAAGGCCGATGTGCCTCCAGGAGGGTGGCACACAACAGCACAGGCTATTTCTGGAACCTTCATCAGTAAGGAAGATGAGATGCTTGGCTTAAGTGAGTTCTTTAAATTCTGAAGTGGGGTTTGTCCTGGCAACACTGGCGGCTGCTGCAGTTTCCTTCTCGTGGTAGTCACTGCGACTCGGCCCTCTCAGCGGCTCCGTCCGTGGCCATGTCAAAACCGCCTTCAAAATCTCGGAGCGTTCAATATATAACCACTTGTTAAAATTAATTACATCGTTTAACATTTCTATGCACTTTATAGTTTTAAATGTTTTACAGTCGTTTTTATTAATTAATCAAGTCTTAATGGACAAAAATCACACCATAAAATTATTATGCATATGCTGCATTTTCAATTTTACTACTATTATCTTTAAGTATTTTCCCCAAGTGGAAAGTCACTGATTCATAAACCAGAGCCTCACACAGAAATAAGGCTGAAAATCAGAGTGTACACACAGAGAGAAATAAATCTAGCCTCGTTCTCCAAGAAGGGTTCACTTCCCTCCACGCACTCCCAAGAAAGATGAGCAACGCCAGAGCAGCCCACCCTGGGAAGTCAGCCTGGCCCTGTGTGTGGGAGAAACAGCAAAAATCCTGGCCGAGTCCCCCAGCCCCGCGAGACACGGCCCGGGACGCAGAGAATCAGCGCGGCTGTCGCCGTCTGGCCCAGCTCACCTCATTTAGAAAACGTGCGGTAATTACTGTACACACACAGACTGTCTCTCTTCTGCTTTCTCTCCCTCCCTCTTTCCTTCCCTCCCCCCCACCCCACGTGAACCAGAAAACGGGAGACTGGCAGCTCCCATGCCTCCGCCATCTTTTCCCAAAAGGCGGAGCCAGGCCCGAGACTCAGAGCTCCACGGCGTGTCTCTGGGACCTAGGGTTACTCAGAGAGATGGCAGCTGTGGGGCGCGAATGACACTGAGCCTGAGAAAAGCCCCCCACCCCGGAGTAGCCATCTCACAAAGTCATGATCAGAAAACTGCTTGTGCCAAAGCCAGAAACCAGTTACAGGTACTCCATCCTGGGGCGTGGTGGTTCCTGTATTGATGAGGCTAACTCAGAACTACCAACCCACGACGGCAAAGCAAAAAGTTCTGTCCTCTAGAGTCTCCCAGATATGCAGAGGGCTAGCAGCCGAGATAAACCATCCGGGACGGGACTGCATTTTGTTCTCAGCTGTTCTGGGAAGACAGCAGGGGCCCCACCGACCCCCGCCCGGGGCTCTCTTCCTACCCAGCACGCATGGTCGTTGGCGACAAGAATTTGGGGCAAGGTCTCCCCTAATGTGCAACATCTCATCTAAGGAAATCAGCTCCATCAGGCATCAACAACCAGGGTCAGGTGTCAGCTCTGAGCAGAGCAGATCAAAGCAACCCGACAGGGGTGCCTCTTGGAACAAGTGGAAGAGACGCGCGGCAGCCACTCCCACGGTCACTCTCCTGCGGTGAAGCGGCACTCACCTGCTGTGTAACTCCAGCCCGGAATGTGGATGGACAGCTGGCTGGCCTGACCACGAGCATGTCGGTGAGGGGCGTGGTCCTCAGCCCCTTTCATGATAGTGTCCTGGTCCGTTCCCGCACCTGTGAATTCTGTGTTTTCCAGCGGCAGAGAGCTCGTCCAAGGACCTGCCCCCAAGTGCGCCTGCCCTGACCCCTCTGGGCTCCCCTGCAGGTGGCATTCCTGCAAAGCCGGGTTGCATCCTGGACTTGGAAGGCTCTGGGCTCTCTGCCGTGGCTCTCCGTTAGCTGGGCCATCTACTCCATCTGCTGTCAGTCCGTGCGAACTACAGTTGAGGTTGAGTGACAGGACGGACCTGTGCCACTGAGGGCTGGCCGTGGCAGGTGGCTGGATGGGAATGAAGAGGGACTTGTCCAGGTAGTGCATTGATTTCGGACACTGCTGAGACACCCTGAAGTGGACGCAGGAACTGAACACCAGAGGGCCCTGGCCTGACGGCGTTGCTTCTGCGGAAAAGCTGTCCTCTCTGTGGTCCACGTGGGTGACCCAGGAGTCACGTCCCTCGCACAGCTGTGCCTGCAGCTCTGGAACCTTCATCCTCGCCACTGAGCCATTTCTGGAGAACTCTGTGCAGGCCACAGGTCCTTGGCGCCACTGTGGGCGGGTCCCCCCAGCCAGAGCATCGTCCACCCTGCACTTGGGACACGGTGGGTCCCCAACAGTCCCCCATACCAGGGTGCTGGCTGGGGGGCCTATGCGCCTGGCGGTGATGGTGATGGATGCGAAGCCCCTGTGGGAGCCGCCGCCCCTGGCCTCACCTCTGGGAGGCAGCCCCGTCCCGGGGCCTGGCTCATCTGATGGGGCCGGGATTCCTGTGCCACCAGGAAGTAACGCAAATGCACTGTGAAGGTGCACTCCGCTGCGGGTGGTGGGAGCTGTCTTCATGTGGCACGCACGTGGCCGAGCAATGGCGCACGGCAGGGCCAATGCAGCCCCATCCTCTTTCGATTCCTTCTCATGCATCAGTTGCGGAATGACCATGGATGAAATCATCTTTGTGTGCTGTGACTCTGGAGCCCCCTGGAAATGGAAAAAAAAATCCCAGTTACTCGGGCAGCAAACTCCAAGGTCCCTGGTGCCAGGGAGCTCAGTTGACGACACTCAGAGGGGTCGGCACTGGGGTGTGGTGGGTAAAGCCACCACGTGTGATGCCTGTGCCCATATGGGCGCTGGTTCATGCCCCAGCTGCTCCACTTCCAATCCTGCTCCCTGCTAATGTGCCTGTGAAAGCAGAAGATGGCCCAAGTGCTAGGATACCTGCCATCCACGTGGGAGATCTGGATGAAGCTCCTGGCCCAGCCCAGGCTACGGCAGCCATTTGGGGAATAAACCAGTGGATAGAAGATCTCTCCCTCTCTGCCTTCCAAATAAATAAATCTTAAAAAAAAAAAAGCACTCAAAATTGCTTATCCAAGCCATTTTACCGCACACCTGGCAGTCTCGGAGTGTCCGGAAGGGCGGAACACCCAGATGTCCGTCACAGCTAAGCTGCCTGGAAGCATGAGCCAGGCTACTGATGGGGTTTTTCCCTGCTGTTTATTTAGGGGTGGATACGCCGGTCACCTGCCCTAGGACCACCTCTGGCAGGCCCAGGAGTCCACACATCCAGGCTTACAGACCCATAAGGAGGGAAAACGGGATACAGAATGGGGCTGGGGAGTAGGCTTGTGTGTCAATGTGTCAGCTCCTGCAGGGTGACAGTGATCACGAGGCCCCGCCCCCCCTGCAGGCCCCGCCCCCTCACACTCTCCACCTCCAGGGTTTAGACTCCAAAGCAGTGGATCCTTGCTGCTGCATCACAGGAGTCCAAGTCCAGAGAGCAAGACCATGGGAAGCAGGTGCCCAAGCTGGACACTCAGCCAGACAGACCCTGGGACAGCCAGGAGGCGGGCTTGCCGCGGGCACAGGTGGCTTTTGCTGCACTCCAGGGTTCAGTTGCCTCGCCTGAGGGTTTGTGCAGGAACGGGGAATGGTGCTAATCAGCAGATGGTCAATTCTGCCAATCCCTGGCGTGTCCAAGACAGTGTGATGATGTTTGAGAAAGCCTTGCCCCAGGACGAGAGCAGGCAGAGGAATCCCGCTGTCCCCGTGTGGGGTTTCTAACCCTAACCCTAACCCTAACCCTAACCCAACCCTAACCCTAACCCTAACCCCAACTCCCACCCTAACCCTGACCCTGACCCTGACCCTAACCCTAACCCAACCCTAACCCTAACCCTAACCCTAACCCAACCCTAACCCTAACCCAACCCTGACCCTGACCCTGATCCTGACCCTGACCCTAACCCAACCCTAACCCTAACCCTAACCCAACCCTAACCCTAACCCAACCCTAACCCTAACCCAACCCTAACCCTAACCCTAACCCCAACTCCCACCCTAACCCTAACCCTAACCCTGACCCTGACTCTGACCCTAACCCTAACCCTAACCCTAACCCAACCCTAACCCTAACCCTAACCCCTAACCCTAACCCTAACCCCTAACCCTAACCCAACCCTAACCCTAATCCTAACCCTGCAGAACAGGTCATGGAAGGCTCGGCAGCACCCAGCACCCGGGGAGTGCTCACAGGGTCCCGGGCCCCACTCTGAAGTGTGGTCCTCTGTGTGCCTAAAGTGAGCCTGGCTGGGAACCGCCCAGGAGCCAAAACATCGCCTGTGACGACTCAGCCCCTGATGCTGGCCAAGGGTCTGTGCCTTGGAAGCCAGAAGACCTCTGTGAAACAGCTGCTCCCAAACCCAACAGGCACGGGTATCACCTGGTCCCTGGACTCCAGAGAATCTTGTTTTTTCAAGGTAGAATTACAGAAAGAAGAGGAGCAGAGGAGAGAGAGAGTATTCCATCCTATGGTTCACTCCCCATGTAATTGTAACGGCCTGAGCTGATCCAGAGCCTGGAACTTCCTCCACGTGGGTGCAGGGCCCCAAGCACTCAGGCCATCCTCCACTGCACACCCAGGTGCATCAGCAGGGAGCAGGGTCGGAAGTGCAGCAGCTGGGTCTTGAACCGGCACCCACATGGGATGCCAGCGTCGCCAGCAGAGGCCCAACCAGCTACACCGCACGCTGGCCCCTTCATGTAATCTGAACCCATCAGTCCTGGGCAGGGCCCAGGGATCTGCATTTAACCTGCACACCTGCAAGTCTGAGGCAGGTGATCCGGGGAGCACAGTTTGGGAGGGGAGGGACTGCACAGGCTTTGCTCTTCCCGCGATGTGACACGCACGGGCAGCGGCAGGCGGCACGAATCATTCATGCAGGGATGCTGCCCTCCAGCTGGACACTTGGCCCTGCAGGTCACCTGGCGGCACCATGTCCAGCGAGTGCGATCTCAGCCCCTGAGAGGCCTCGGGGGAGGCGGCCGGTTGGCTTTGCTGGCAACCTCCATCCCCTGACACACGCTGGAGGCTGCAAACTCAGACGATGCCGAGAGGCAGGCAACGGAGGAGAAATGACTCACACAGCCATTTTGAAACTTACATCAGTTTTTAAAATCAAAATATCCCTAGCTACATCTTCCCAAACTGACAGGTGGCCGTGCAGCAGCCCGGAGTCGAGAGCAGGTTCGTTGGACCTCCTCCTCCCGCTCCACTGCCTCCTCCGGCTGCGCTGCCGCCAGGGGCGTCTGCAAGTCTGCAGGCGCCTCCTCCTGTGGGTTCTCAGCCACCTGGCAGCTTGTGAGAGCCCTGGTGCTCAGCCCCAACAGCGACATTGAAGACCCCGGGGTCTGGGCTGGGGGACGCATCGTGTCGGTTCATCTCCCCGTGGAAGTCACAGGTGCAGCGGGCAGCCTCGGCTGCAACACCCCCAGCCCCAATATACCTGTGCCCTCCCCCACTCTTCTCCCTGCGGCACTTTCCCTGGCTGTGGTTGATAAAGCCCAGTGCACCTGGCGCGTTTTGACTTGGAACAAGTCCTCCCACTTCCGTTAAATTTAGTTCTGATAATAATCGCTCCTGTGCAGCCTGCAAGGTGCCAGTCACACCGCCGGGGGCTCCTCTGACACTGGTCTTCAGAGAAGAACCCAAACACCCGTCCTGGGAAGCAGCATCCGTCATGTTTTAGAGCAATCTCGCCGACTTTTTGCAGCGATGACTGCCTGCAGAAAACTGTGTGTCTCTCAATCCCTCTCTTCTTCCCTAGACCCAAGGAGCAATCAGGATCTATGGGGCATAGCCCAGAGTCTGTATTCTCAACCTGCTCCCTGTGGCTCTTCCATGCAGATACAGTGGGACAAGGCAGGTCAGACCCAGGGCCCCCGACACCCCGCCCCGAACTGGGGTTCCCAGAACAGGTGTGGGACCTGGGTGAGGCCGCAGGGCAAGGCCCATGGGGACTCCAGGCTTCCTGCTGCTGCGGTCACTGACACCGAGAGGTCATCCACCCTGGGGCTCAGGAACGCACAAGAGCCTTGGCCTTGGTGCATGGCCCAGAGTGAGTGAATGTCGTGTCCCCCTGGAGCAGGGACAGGAAAGACCCTGACTCTGCTAACTGCAGCCTGGCTCCTTGCCTGAACTGGAACAGCAAGCTGTGGCCAGAGCTGTGCTGGCCACGGTGTCACTCTGAAAGGGCCCGGAGGCCCAGGGATGGGACAAGGAACCGGGCGGGCACCACTTCATCACCCAGGCCTGGCGGCGTGGCTATGACTGTGACTCCATCAGAAAGAACTGGACGTGGGGAGAGCAGAAACAGACGGTGTGAGTGGGAACTCATTTCTGGAGCTCTGGGATTGCTCCTACGTCAGGGTGACACTGATCCTGGGAGAGAAACACTGGCGGAAGTTCACGTCCGTGGGACGTTCATGGTTGCTCTCTCTTCTCACAGGCCAGGCATGGATCAGAAGGAAGATGGACGGACGCCCTCTCCTGCCCCTGGGGCTGCGCTCACTACAGCTCAGCGGAAACGCGGCCAGCTGGCGACTGCAGAGGCGGGGTGCCTCCATCCGAGTGGACCGCGTTTCAGAGCATCTGCAGGAATGCATCCGACTTTCTCTGAATAGCAGAAAGGGAAGCAGCACTTCACGCGTCCAGTACACTGACACTTCGCCGTGAACATAGATGTCCGGTTTGTTTCAGGTGCAAATTCTGTCAATGACATATCACGGCCAAACCATTGGTCTGATTACCAGCCGACCAACACCTGAGCACCTCCCCATCTCAGGCCCATGCTGGGCACGAAGGCACCCCTGCCTTCATGCAGCCAACAGCCAATCAGGACGCCAGGACAGGGTAGTTCCAGTGTGTGGTGTTAGCTTAGACAAAAGCCCCGAATAATTCATGGAAAGAAACCAGAGAGACAACGCTGGACTCCCGCTCACCATACACAGTTCTCATGGAAGGCTTCTCGGAAGTTCTATTCTCTCATTGAGTCCCACAAATAAAGACAAGGCCAGTGACAGCTGGGCAGGCCGCTTCAACAGGGGATCGCGGTCCGTGTGGCTGAGCCAGGAGAGCGTGTTGTCTCACAGCCCTGCAGGCTGCGAGCCCCGGGTCAGGGCGCCGGCACGGCTGGGTCTCCCCAGCACCGCGTGCCTTGTAGGCGGTGCCTGCTCCCCACGTCTTCAGGTGCTCATCTCCCGGTACCTGCCTGTGTCCTAAATTGTTGTAAGGAGACCAGCCAGATTGGGTTAGGACCGCCTCAACACCCCAGTTATCTCTTTGAAACCCCAGTCTGCAAATACAGTGCGATTGTCAGGGACTGAGGGATGCCACTTCAGCATGGACATCCGGGGACCCAGTGCAGCCCAGCACCAAGCACGACACATCGCCCTGTGTCAAGCTGTCAGCCGGGTATGGGAAACTGAGACAGACGTAAAGAGGAGGAGTTATTTGATTTCCCCGCCAGCCTGCTACTTTGATAGCTGGGCACATTTACAAAGTAATCCCATCTTTTACATCAAATATCTCCCCAAATTAAGCTATCTCAGGGTGACATGCCATCTGCCTTTCACAGTGGGTTAACTAAATGTGGCTCTGCAAAGAGATGTCTTTCATCTAAGATCAAGTTAACTGACGTAAG